AGAGCTATTGCCACAGACTCAAAAATAGTGTGTGGGAGCTCCAAGAGCCTGATATCAAGTAACAGCCTAAAATGCTGAGGTCCTTCTCATTACATCATGGGAGCAATCCAAACTGGCAGTTTCCTGAGGGAAGGGCCTTGCTTGGCTTGGCGAATGAAACACAAGCCCACAACTTGCTGTGAACATTTTAACTCAAATGTTTGCAACCAAAATGATGAAGTAACACAGTCATCGCAATGTCTCAATATCCTCCCAAGTGTGTGTGTGGTAGAGAGAGAGAGAAATGAAGAATATAACAGTCCCGTTAATGCGTCTTTAGATGATACTTACCCTGGAAATGGAAAGTGGCATGTTGAAGTCCTTGCCACCCTGCAGTCTGAACCCCCATGGTGCTGGCCCATCCAGAAGAACCTTGTATGAGTCCATGTCACTCATTTCTAAGGGGTTAGAAAATATTAACTTAATAGTTACCCAAAACAGTAGAAACAAAAAACATCAGGCATGCAGAAGAGGGGTGGTGCCAAAAGGTGAGCAAATGATGGCATGCTGCAGAGCGAGATCTTAGAATTTTGCTATTTTATGCAAATAACATTGCCCAGTTGCTGCACTATTAAACTTCTTCCATTACTCCAGAGCTAGTTTCATTCCCCACCTACTTCTTTACAGAAAATGCCCATAAGCTTTCTTCGTCCAAAAATATATTGGAGGCCTGTTAATAGAAGCCAAGGCACTTCTCTATCCAGTTGTATTTCCAATAGCCTTGATGCACAGGAGCTTCAGATATTTGGGGCCAATTTACATGGTGTTTGGATGGGCCTGTTTTATATTCCCATCAAATTTGCTCAGGTTTTATTAAGTACTCAGAGAGTTGCATAAATAAGGCTTCCACATACCCTAGCACTAATGGGAGACTAGACTTTTAAAAAAAAAAACAGGTTTCACATGCATTTATTTAATTAAACAGAACAGAGAAGGAAAACAATAAAAAAACAAAAAAACAAAATGGCTTTATATATATTCAAGGACTTCTCATACATGCATTTACATGATTATATACATGATTATAATATTTCATTAGAACTACCGTATCTATGCAACTTCATAATTCCAAGTAACATCATGTCTTCAATCCATTCAGTAATTGGGGCCATAAATGATTGCTTCCAATGTGAAAAGGCAAAACTTTTAGCAATCAGGAAGGTACAGAAAATCCACTTTTGTTGCTCAGCCATCACTTCCATGCAATAAGTATATAGTTCAAAAGAGTACTGATGACCAAATTATCTCAACCTGTCTTAACCTGTCTCAAATCAACTGTCAGAACATAGCAATTTTAGGATGATACAAAAATCTATTTTCTCATGGCATCTCCAACAACACTGTGCTTTTGTAATGGGGCCCAATCAGGGTGAAAGATCTAAGATCTACTGAAATTTTCAGTAAATATGTTAGGACTTTTCCCCACTATTTAGGCAAAATGGAAATCTGCCAACTCCTTGTTCCATTCAGTTTTTTAAATGCATGGGTTAAATTTATCAACAAGAAGTATTTTTAAAAACCCTAATTTGGGGAATTTTTGCCTTTAATAATGTAGGTGTCCTTAAATCTGAAAATGGCAGAGTTATGTAAAGACCTAATGTTTCAATCTATTTAACTCGGCATGACTGTTTCTCCCTGAATACCAACTTCCTATCTCCCCTATCAAAATAGGCTGCAATAGCACCTTCAATTCTTAACCTTGACCGTTTGAAGATATGTGGGTGGACTTTAACTCTCAGAATTCCCCAACCAGCATGCAGGCTGGGAAATTCTGGAAGTTGAAGTCCATACATTTTGAAATTGGCATAGTTGAGAAAGTGCGATTGATCGATCAAGACAGACACTGTCTTTACTGACAATGAAATTCCTATACAGAAATAAATATATTAAATTTATTTATTTATAGATTTAATGTGGAGAAAAGCAAGGTTTTACACTTAGGCAGGAAAAACTAAAGGTACAAGTATAGATTAGGTGAAACCTAGCTCAACAACAGTAATTGTGAGAGGGGCCTTGGAGTCCGAGTGGACAATCACTTAATATAGATAGATAGATAGATAGATAGATAGATAGATAGATAGATAGATAGAT